AGCCTGTTAATTAGAACCACACACCTTGGAAAAACACACCCATCTGCATCACACACTAAACAAAAGATGTCCATGTTTTCTATTATTGTACCCTATGCGGAAAGACAGTGATTAGACAGTGACTACAAAATAAGTAAATCATTGCATGTATGTATTAGAATTACTGGCTACCCTGTAATAAGTGCATTGTGTAATTCTAAGTCATGTTAGTACATTAGGAAAATGACAAGGCATACCAAAATTCACACGAGCCAATAATATTGTGATCAAATTAAGCACACGTTTCTAAAACTAAGGCTAAATACAGCTGACACAAGGATTCCCTTCCAATTCCCATTTCCATCCCCCACTGACTGAGACTTTGGGAAGACATTATCACATTATTCCTTATCCTCCTCCTCCTCCTCCTCCTCCTCCTTATCCAGTGCCATGTGTGCAGTGTGCATCTCAGTGCCCCCCGAAAATCTCCCCTCGGCCTTATCTACCCTGGGGATTATCACAGACTTGTCATTTCTGTGTCTACCATTCCTCTGCTGCTCTGTCATTTGCATCCATTTACATGTAAATTCTAATGTGGTAGGCTTGCACTCTGTCAGGGATTGTGTTGGAGGACTGTTAATCATAATGAAATCAAAGGATCATCTGATTTAAAGCTGTGTATACAAACCAAGGAACATTTCGAAAGTCACGTTTCGTCATGCATTCCAAGATATGTTACAACACAGAGAATTTAACGCTTGTGTGATCCAACGCATATTATTTATAGTAAATAGTTGATTATGTATTAACCTATGCCTCCTATGTAGCAAACGTTGACATGGGGGAAATTACTTGTCAAAAGCAAACGCATCACCAGCTTGTACCCCTTATTGTCACCCAGCATCCTGGTCTCTTATTATACAGCATGTCTAATATGATAGCCTGAGGGTAAAAACTGTCTGTCGTTCCTGTATACTTGCCCTAACCTACACATTAATACACATCGTATCATAAATTATAAAACCGGTTGTTGTCATCCAGTGCAAAAAAAAAAAAATTCAGTGAACAAGGTTTGAAAAGGGTGAACAAAAAGCTCCAGGTAATTTCTTTGCTTGATCCATTTTTACCTCCTGCTTGACTTGTTCAGAACAATCCTTTCTTTCATATAAGAAACTATGGGCTTTGTAACTTTTGGTATAGATGTGCTTTCTGGACTTAAAATGAATACACCTTTGGACATTATTGTTCATGTTTTTTTTTAAATTTGCCGTTTACTTCATAAAAATCATTGTCGAGGTAATATGAGTTTCTGTGACTTCTGGAAAATCGAAACGTGCTCCAATACTACTGCTTCGTCCAGCTTGTCCAATACTACTGCTTCGTCCTGGCTTGACCTATTGCATACTGACCTCTAGTGGTGTTTCTGGTGGTGTAGTCCCTTGGTCCACCTTGACCCTGACCAGGATAAACAATGAATGGATAGTTCAATGACCCCAGTCTGGTGCAGAAATTGTTGATAACATACCGATAGTCATTACGCCAAGCCATTAGAGCACACAAAAAATGTGAAGAAGGATCTCTTATCCTTGTTTAATGCATAGGCCAGCCAGTATAATGAACATGATGCTGCTATATGATTTTAGAATTAAATGAATCCCACATAGTCTGTGCGAACAGAAAAAGTCAATACAATGCATACACTATATGGCCGAATGCTTGTACCCACCAATATGTGGGTCTTCCCCAAACTGTTGCCACAAGGTCAGAAGCACGCAGTTGTCTAGAATGTCTTTGTATGTTGTAGCATTGAGGTTTCCCTTCACTAGAACTAAGAGGCCCAAACCTGTTCCAGCATGACAATGCCCCTGTGCACAAAGCGAGCTTCACGAAGACATGGTTTGCCAAGGTTGGAGTGGAAGAACTCAAGTGTCCTGCACATATCCCTGACCTCAACCCCACTGAACACCTTTGGGATGAACTAGAACTCCAACTACGCCCCAGTTCTCCTCACCTGGCATCAGTACCTGACTTCACTAATGCTCTTGTGGCTGAATGAGCACAAATCCCCACAGCCACGCTACAAAATCTGGTGGAAAGGCTTCCCAGAATAGTGGAGGTTATTATAACAGAAAAGGGGGACTAAATCTGGAATACCATGTTCAGAAGCACATATGGGTGTGATGGTCAGGTGTTCACAATTTTTTTTTATTGGCCATATAACGTACATTCCAGTGTCCACTGAACAGTGCCACGTGACTTGATAACAGTAACTTTCCTACCGTCCTCTTTTTTATATTTGAAAAAAAAAAAACATGAGTAATCTAGAAACCTAGTAACTTTTTTTTTACTTCATACTTTTTTTTATTGTAATTAGTGCACAGTTACATGTGGAGTGTCAGCCAAAAGGAGGCAGCAGAACTTTGCCTATTTAAAAACAAACAGAGAAAAAAAAAAAAAAGTGGTCTATAGGGTCTTTTGACATGTATAGAAGGTCTGGTATTGTAAGTTTGTGTACATTAAAAATGCATGTATACTATCTTCCTTATCATTCCTGTTACTTTTTTTCATAGGTAAATTGGTTCTTTAAAAAAAAAAAAACTTTAGCATGCCCACTGACTGATTGTAGTCTAACATTTACTTCAAAAAGTATTCAACCCTTGGACTGTTCACATTTTGCTGTGTTTTGTCAAAACAAGTGTATTCTTTGATATTAAATAGAAAAAAAAAGATGTCTTGTTAAACCCAGCAATGGATATGCTGTAAGTATTCAGGAGCAGATTAAATTTAGAAAACGTGATTCAGGTGGAAAACATGCATGTTCAGCACTTATTTTAAGATTATTAGTAAGTCATTCACTGTACCAGAAAACACAAGTGTGATTCGTATATTTTTTTACTTGAATTAAGGGTAAGAATAAGAATAAGAGAAGTTTTTCCACAATATACTTATCAAATAGAATTTAACAGAATGTATTGTTTATGATGGTTATGACTTCAGTACATAAGTAGCATTTTTAAATATATATTTAACCAATATGTTAAATTGTAAGTATACACTGGAGTACACTTGACATTGAAAGGGTTAGGTGGACAAGAAAGCAAAAAGATTAAAACCTTACAGCTAGCACTGAGTACAAACACTGAGTAGTAATATAACAGATATGTAAGATATAATGCTACCACAAAGCATTTTATATCATAGCGTGACAGCATATATTCAGAGTAGGACAGGAGTAGGAATGCACAGTTAATACTGTATTTTGCAATCAGAAAACATTTCTCTGCAAAACAGTTCAGGCATCTTACCACAAAGCACCTTTTTTTAGAAGCGTGTTTCCATTCTTGAGTTGGGAATATATTTAATGTATATAAAGTATAAACACGGATCAGCCA